CCCCAAAACCCCAAAACCCCAAAACCCCAAAACCCCGTCAATACATTTACTAAATGGTGAAATAGAAGGTCTTAATAAATTATCAAATATGCCATAAACAATAACTCAATAGACTTGTATTATAAAATACTTATTAGAAATACCAAATTATATAAGGAGTCATAGTAAAAAGTAGCTTCATTAGGAGATTGTGTTTTGATTTATGCTGCTAATCTCGTTTTTATTAAACTTACTCAATTATTGTTGATGAGTTTTATTGCTAGTCTCCTGCAGAGATTTGAGGAAGGTAGTGCCAAAGACCTTGTTTTGAGATGAATTAGTATTGTTGGCATTTGTTATACTGTAGCCACTTGTAGACTCTCTCATCATAGAGCTACTTACAGTATTGCCCATGTTTGAGTGCCCAATAAAGCCAAATGTCATCTCGACATCATCTTGCTGACTATTCTGTTGCTAATTAACATGTAAGGGAGTCTTTGTCTCTTCATTGGAAGACAAGCTTTACTCTCGCCTTGACGGTGCATTGCCAATATATTATTACTAAAATATACTTAGCTTAGAAGGTTAGTTTTAAGTTGGGCCAAATGTTGTTAGCATTTAGGGAAGATTTTGGGGTTCATTATTGTCCTTTACAGTGAACTGTTACTAATCATTCCTCAAAGAGGGCAGCAATCTCTATTTTTAAGGTTTAATATTAATTTTCTTTATTTATTTTCTGCTGGTTTCTTGATCTCTTTCAATTGTTTTAGAATTTTACAATGCTTATTAGCTATTACTTCCTAGCAAGATCTTTTTAATTTATTTTTAATGAAGAAGTATCTGATTAATGTCGTTGAGATTTTTCAATGAGTTCTACTCACTAAGAGGGATCTATTATCCCCCTATGTTAGAGTTGAAGTTTATATTGTTGACTTTGTTGTGAATAGTAATGAGAGCAGGCATATTGTTATATTTTGGACTAGTCTATTTTGAAAGTGGGAAATATGATGAATTCTTCTCCTGTATTCTTGAAAGAAACTTACTGTTATCTATAATTTTACTAAGTGACTCATATTTATTTTAGCTATTATCGTTTTAAGTTATAACTGGGTTCTTGAAAATTTTCTGATTTTTAAAGATTGATTGGACATTATCGTCTTTTCTAGTGATAGTCATTTGAATTTTATGAAAGTCGTTTCCATCTAGAAAGTTATTTATATCTTTTTCATCTTTTTTCTTTAGCATCGCCTCAGGGGGCATGGGAGCACTTTACTAACGGTATTATGGCTTGGGCTCTTAATACTTGTAAGGTCTAACTTACTCCTATTAAGAAGCCTCTCTCATCTTAGGAATAGCTATGAGTTTCGTGTTAGATTTGCCACTAAGATTAATGATTTGAAGTTAGTCCTCAAATCCCTTTAGGCTTTATTAATTATCCTAGTTTGCTGTGAAGAAGTTTTTATTAATAAGGGGTGGCAAATTAGTCTTAACTGCCTTTGAATATTTCTTTAAGTTTGGCTCACTTTTCACTTTATGGATTTTGAGTTGTTGATTAACATCGAACTTAATGATAGAACTTGGATTAGAATTCAAAGTCTGATCGAACCTGCTTTGATTAATGAGGCTTCTAGTAGCAGATGAATTAATTTGGTTATTCATATCTTAAAGTAAATCAGAATTTATCGTTTATTTTCCGATGATCTTAAGTTTCCTATGAGCTTTTTATATTTCAGGATTTAAAATTTTCTCGCTTCTTACTTCCTTCAAAGATGGCATTTCCTTGACTATTGGCATCATCTCACTGTTCAAGAAGTTAGACAGTTCCTTTTAGCTTTCAATTTTTGAAAGCAGATTAATTGAATTGGAATCTCCATTTTTAATCGATAAATTTTAATTGTTAATTCGATCGATGGACTTTTATTTTCTTTGCCTAGTATCCATCATGTTTTCACTAAAAAACCCAGGAGGAAACTTCTATACATTGATTCCTAAAACTTAAGGAACAACTCTTCCTGTCTATTTGCTGTTCACCTTCATCTCCATTCTAGGATCAGATGAAGTTATGCAAGAAGTTTCATTGGTAATGGCGATTTTTTCGGAGTTCATGAGCGAGCTATTAATAAGTGTGCCGGCATTGCTAAATTTATCCTCCATATTTTCAGTACCCGCATTATCTTATTCCTCTTAAGCTCTAGATGAAGAAGAAGCATTAGATTGGTAGCTATTAGAAGATCTTCGACCCTTTTTCATATTATAGGCGCGCATCGTCATAAACAGATTGCTGTTCTGCTATATCTATAGTAATGCTTATGATTCGCGGTTTTAAACCTGGAAGTGAGTCTTCCTAGCCTAGTCTTAATTCTACTGATTAGATTAAGACTCTTTAGATTCGTAGAGAATTTCTTATTTGGTGAAAAATTTATTACCGCTATTCTTTTATGATGCTTCTTGGTTTGGAAATATTTATGAATTATCTATATATTACCCAGCTAGAGCGCTTTCTCTGCTTTAATTGCGATGCTGCTAACTAGAAATGGAAGTGAATTCATTAGAGTCTCTAGTTTCTCTGGTCTATCTTGCTGGAGTTTCAAATCCACTATTACTGCTAGGTCCTTATATGGATCCTCCATACATGGTAGCAGCTGTCTCAATTTAGTTGTTAGTGAGTGTTGTGTTACTGGACTCTTGTATTAGGAAAGGCGACTCATAAATTTATTTACTGGCGTTTTTAAAGTCCTTGAAGTTTTCTTTCTTTATTAGGGGCATTGTCCTCTTTTGTTTGTTCCTTGATATACTGTTTTATTTCTCTAATACCCTCGAACTCATCTGATTATTAGAGGACTATCCAACTTTTATTTAGTTGCAATCATCCTACATATTTATTCAAGAATTAAGATTTGTTTTATTTCAATAATACATCACTCTTCAACTTTATACTAAAATATTAGTCTTTATGGGGTTTTGGGGTTTTGGGGGGATCGGAAGAGCGTCGTGTAGGG